ATGAGTAAAACTATATCTTTCCTTCATGAATTTCTACAAATAAAATCATATTCTGTGGAGACCACAACTGCCTTCAAGTCATGATAGCTTCCAATATCCACCTATTTGCAAGATAAGGATCTAATGGAAAGCAAAGTTCAGCCCACAGTGTATATAATTATATTATTTTCCCTTAAGAAGAGAATAATCCCTTTCTTTAGATTTCTGTTTCATGAACTTTAAAGGGTGGTGGCAAATAGATATCCCTTCTGAAAATTATAATTTCCAAATACATGGACTTTGATATGCCAAAAAAAGGGCAGAGAGAAGAGAGAGAGAGCGATGGTGAGAAAATAGGTTGGAAAATTTTCAAGATATGGCAAGGACTTTAAAACCCTGGTCCTGCTGAATGTAAATATTTAATTATATTAGGCTCTCCAGAAAATACTAGCCATAACTGTATTCTTATGTCTCCAGTTATTTATGTAAAACAGAATTTTTAAAACACCTTAGATGAGCATCAGATGGATTATGGCAGAGATATAGATTAGATATGTCAAAGTTCAATAATTTTTCACAAAAAAAAAAATCAAACTGAAAGCCCTAATCCACATGTTTGAGATTTTCCATTAAAGGTTATGAAGGCCTGGTACCAGTATATTCAGGACGGAATACAGGCCACCAGGCCATTTTGTGATGATGCAGCTATGATTATCCATAAACCAAGATAATCCTCAAATACACGTGTTTGAGTAAAAAGGCAGGTAGTGCTGTTCCACTGTCTCTTCTTCTGTGTGGTAATAACTCCTTAACTCAGCACATGCTAGACTGCAGCTCGATACTGTGCTCAGTTGTGGGTCCCCAGTATAGGAAAGACATTGGTAAACTGGAGGGAGTTCAGGGGAGACCACCAAGATTGTGAGGGCCAGAGGACTTTTCCTGTGAGGAAAGGCTCTGGGGGCTGGGCTGGGTCAGATGGGAGCAGAACGGCTTCAGGGAACATAATAGCATCCCCCAGTGCCTAGGATGAGTAATCAAGAGGTTGGGTCCATGCTCTTCATAAAAGACAATGGACATGAGTATAAAGATGAAAGGTTCAGACTCGCTGTACAGAAAAACTTGTTCCCCATGAGGAGTGTCAAGCCATGGCAGGTTGCCGAGAGAGGCAGTACAGTCTCCATCCTTCAAGGTTTTCAAGACATGACTGGTTACAATTGGTCCAATCCCATAGCCGATCCTGCTGTTAGCAGGAGATTGGACCAGAGACCCCCTGAGATCCCTTCCAGCCTGAATTATGAGCCTACTAAGCACACCAACGTATTTTGAATGTATAGAGTACTCTGAAGTATAGGAAAAATACTGTAAATTAAATCAGTCAGGGGCAGTAATAACTGCAATTCATGCAACAAAATACAAATAAAATATGTAGGGATCTCCTGCCTTTCTTGATCAAATTCACAGCCTCTGAAAGATATTTGTCTTAATAGATTTCAAAGCAAATCACATTTCTATCTTCAAAAAGAAAGAAGAGTTGTCCCTGAAAGGAGTATACAATAGCCCCAGATATGCCCCTTACTCTATTCAAATGAATAGCTCCCTGGAGCTATTCCTTTGCACAAGCATTTGCTGATCTCATTAACCATTATCTCTATGGAACTAATTGAACAAGAGAACTTATGGTCTTGTCCAAAGATTTTTTTTTTTTTTTTACAGAATGATATGGTATCGGTATCAAGAGTAATGTCATGCCAATTGATTGATCTTTGCTGCAGAAGAAAGAATTATGTGGGAATTCAGTAAAAAAAAAAAATAAATGCTGTGGTATTCTTATTAAGTAAAGCATGAAATGGAGCCTGAAGAAGAACAGATGAATTTATGCTGCTATTATCTGAAAGCAATGACTTTTGTAAAGCTTATATTATGAATAGCAGGTGTTATTTCGAAAAGAGAACAGGAAGTGAAGTTACAAGAATGCTAATTTCTCTCAATGGCTTTAAATATATACATTTTAAATCTCCCTCCTTATCATGAATTGAAAGGTTTTGATAAATGTCTTAAACATGTTACCCAGATAAGTTACCTACTTAGATTCCTGTCTTTCCCAGTATTTTTTCCATTCAGCTTTCACCCTTGTCAATTTAATTCAAAAATTACTTCACCATATCATAGAATCATAAAACGATAGGATATCCTGAGTCAGAAGAGACCCACCAGGATCACTGAGTTTAATTCTTGACTCTACACAGGGCAACTTAAACTGTATATCTAAGAGTGTTGCCCAAACCCTTCTTGAACACAGACAGGCATGGGGCCATGGAGCACCTCCCTGGGGAGCTTGTTTCACTGTTAGACCATCTTCTCAGTGAAGAAGTTTTTCACAACATCTAGCCTGGGCTTCCCATGACAGAGCTTTAAGCTATCCCCTTGCATCCTATCACTGGACACCAGAGAGAAGGGATCAGCAGCTCCCTCTCTGCTCCCCTTCATGAGGAAGTTGTAGACAGCAATGACATAACCCCTCAGTCTCCTATTCATAAAGCTGAACAAACCTTGTACCCTCAGCCACTCCTCATAAATCATGCCCTCTAGTCCTTACACCATCTTCCTGCCATCTTTTAGACACATCCTAGTATGTTTATACTGTGGACCCCAGGATTGCCCACACTATTGCTGAGTATAGCAGCACAATCACTTCTTTCCACTAGTTAGCTATACTGTGTTTGATGCGCCCCAGCATACGACTGGCCCTTTTAGCTGCCAGGGCACGCTGTTGATTCACAGAGTTTACCACCAACTCAAACCCTCAGATGTCTTTCTGCAGGGCCACACTCCAGCCTCTTGTCCCCCAGTCTATACGTACATCCAGGATTATACCATGCCAGGTGCAGAATCTGGCATTTGTCCTTTATTTATACCACTGAAGATATAGACGTGCTCACATATGACCTTAAACGCACGTGTAAACCCTTTGTGGTGGCATGTGCCAAAGAACTTCTTATCTGTTACATTAAAAACTTTTTTTTTTTTTTTTAATCCAGATATTTCTCAGCATCATTTTCAATAGTTCATCCCACTGATTATGCTTTTTTGCCGTTTTTCAAACCTAGCTTTCAATAGTGGCTGAAAGACAAAAAACCCACTACAGTCAGCAAAGAACAGGGGTAGGAAATACCAAAAATATTGCAATACAATTACACAAAAGAATGAGGAGTGAGGACTAGCATTTTCTTTTATATCATTCTACTGCAAACAGAGGAATGTGAGAAGCATTACAGAGAGAGATTGAAGAGTCTTGGACTATTTATTCAAGGAAGACAAAAAAAGACAAGAGGACGTGATTCAGGTGTAAAAAACTGCAAGCGGGCTAGCGAAAGTAGTACAAATGTTTCTATTTATTCTTTCTGATGAAAAAGAAAGAAGCATTGCACTTAGTATAGCTATAATTCCTTTTTTTTTTTTTTCTTTCTTAATCCAGCCAATAATTACCACAAAGAATAATTTCTGCAATACAGAAAGATTTGTAGCAAAAACCTCCAAAGTCTTAGTGCCTAAAAATTGTTTACACATCACAATTTCAGCCACATAGTGATAACTGAAAAACTGTAGTCTTCCAAATATGATAAGACCAGACACTATGCTGGATAAGACCTGTGGTTTTATGTTGTCCATTAGCTTGCTGTGTCACTGAGTGATTTCAGAAAAAACCCATAATAGACAATTAGAGGCTAATCGCCATCAGGAAAGGTTTCTTTTCTAAGTCCAGTTCAATTTTAACTCCTGAAGAATTAGATTTCTGCTCCTTTTAAAACTGTTAATTACTGATATAATTATTCTTCTAGTTCATGTGCATTCCTCACCTTCTTTTGAATCCCACTAATCTCTTGTCTTCTTGATATCCTGTGGTAATGAGCTCCACAATCATCTCTTAGGGAAGAATAGTTTGCTTCATTCTGAATTTTTCTATTTGGTGTGTTTCCTCATATCCGCACTACAGTGTAGGGCACTTTCTATTTCCTTAACAATGTATTACTTCACATATTTGTCTCATTTGTTGTCTTAATGCATTTTTTGAAGGACACATCTCTAAAACTCTTCCTCTATGGGTCTTGTGTCTCCCTTGATCTAAACTTTCTGGAACGAAAAATGAATACTGCCAGAGGCACAATGCTAAAAGTAAGGCCAATAATAAATGTACATGATTTGAGAGTGTTACAACAGGGTGTTAGAAAAATAGATATTACTTTTTCTGGACATTTCTTTGTTTCATTAGTTCCTTTTAGGAAAGAGGCTTTCATTTAGTTTTCATTTATTTTCCCATAAAAAATCCCTAAGTAGCAAGGTTGGTTGGAAAAATTATAATGAAACGTTTTTTTAACTATCCAGGAGTTCTTAAAATTTGAAATATTTCATAGTAACAGTTCTCTTCAGGCAAAGTACCAGTAGAATTCAGGTTTTATTTCTCGACTAATTCCTCAGCAGCCCACTAAACCCACAGTTTTGCTTGTGATACAGAGACTGGGTTTCCAGAGTTACAGGATCTGGGACTTTGTCACAGAGAATTTTAAAAAATACTTTATTGTAAAATGAGAATGGTAACCAAAAAAAAAAAAAAGTCTGCATGAAAGATGTCTATTTTTGTTACAAAAGCTTGACCCAGAGCATCTGCTTAGGCTTGATGGAGCAACCTCAGATGGCCAGCTATGAAAAATCTTTAGAATTCAATTTATTGACGCTTACATTGCAACAGCTTTCATATGTCTCTACCATTTTACATTCTTGACAAACAAAACAAAGAGTAAAGTCCTTTTTTTGTGGGATTAAAGATGTCTGATAAGAATAGTCTCTCAGCTTTTGCCAAAAAAAAACCCTATAGTCTTATTATAAAACAGAATATAATTATTCTTTTTCTTTTTCTTTTTCTTTTTTTTTTCTTCCTTTTGTTTTTTAGAGATTTATTGTATATTTTCATTCTTTGGATGGTTACCTCACAATTTCAAACTGCAACTGAATCAGAAACTTACCAAATACTTGTTCAGGTTCCAGCACAATGGGTCTATGTCCCAGTTAAAGTTTCCAGATACATTGAAAATAGTAATTACCTGTTGCTCTGCTTGGTCCCAGATCTTCACACTGTAAAATTAAAAATCTGAGAATGTCATAAGATATTAGAACCTATCACAGTTTTGCTGTACTGTAACAGAAGACATGGAGAACTCTATTATTGAGAAAAATGTGGCATTTTCTTGTAAAATCTTCAAGAAATAGTGATGAAATAACCAACAGAGAACATTCTAAGAGAAATATGTGAAAAAATAAGGGATGTTGTTGATATTGATGGAGAGCTTATTTCTGCCCAATAAATTGTAAAAATTGTTCAAGAACAGTTCATCTTCGACAAAATATGACCTCCTGTAATACTGCCACAGTCAGACGGACCTTTAGTGAACTTCTGAACAAATAATCATCATGTGATTTGAAACTGCCTAAGGTCAGTTTTAACTGAAGCACCCAATTTCTCTAGGATTTCAAGCGAGGTTAAAAGAATAAATTCAGAATACAAATACTGTAGCTGACACATATCAGCAAATTCCTCCCCACCCCCCAACCCCCCCCACACCCCTTCTGTCTGTCCCTTTATTCTTTTCCTTATTTTGAATATACATATTTAGGTTGCATAGTAGCAGGTTTCTAGGCAAAGAAGAAACTCTTGGGGGGGAGAATGTATTCATCAGTTAATTGCAGTAAGAATACATGCTACCTGTTCTTAAATTCAAAGGCAAGAAAGCTGTTATCTGTGAAGAAAAAAAGTAAAAATATGCTGAGCATGCCTGTCTGTGTTAATTATCTTGGTTACATCTACAACCTTGCACATTTGTATGCTCACCTTGTCATTCTGTAGAATCTGAACCCCTGATATTGAACAGCAGGTGCACGGGGAAAGTATAAAAGAAAGTTAAATCAAAGGTAGGATTGAAGGTCTTGTAGTGATGGCACTAGGAAAACAAGAGATCTAAAGTCAGTTCTTGATTTGGCTGTGTGCACTGAGAAGCAAGTCACATTTCCTTCTGCTAACCTTTCTCCCTATCCATAAAACATGGAAGATATTTTTTTTCAACCTATTTTTTTGTCAGTTTGTCATTTAGTCTATGAACTTTTAGGGTGGGAGAGATGTGTCTTACTGGAGGCTTACGTGGAACTAAGCACAATGGGACTTGTCAGTTGAGAATTCTCAGCTCTACCAGAATACTGGAAAGCAATAAGAGGCAAAGCAGAATAGATAAGTTCTCATTTCAAGTAGCAAGCACAGACAGGTATAATATTACTGAATTTAAATGGGCAACTGAAAGGAGAATAGCAATCAACACAACACTAACCATTTTCCATCATTTAGAGACCTTTAAAATGAAGTGAAATATCTTACAGCTATTACATATTTCTGACTTCATTTCCTAAGCCTGGAAGTCAGTCATGAATGAAATACACTTCGATTGTATTTATGTGATGTACTTCATATTTTCAAGTTTCTTGATTTCATTTTCCTATATGTGCGTGTATATATATATATATATATATATATGTGTGTATATATATATATATATATATATATATATATACACATGCATAAATACTTACAATTTATAGTCTCTATATAGTATATATACATATTTAATACTGAAGCACATTTCATAGCCTTCTGCCTAGCACAAGAGACTTTTCTTTTTAATTTCTTAATGAGGAGTCATTAGATGTGATGGAATTAAGGTGCTTGATCTGGACAAACTGCCTGCAGTTACTGAATGTGTTGAAGTGTCAGCAAATTCACAACAGCATTTGAGCTTTAGTTTTGAGGTCTGTTAAATAATTTCAGTGGGACAAAGCTTTAGCCTGACTCATTATGAAAGCAAGTCATGGTGCATTAGGAGTAGCCTGAAAAATGACAAATGCCAGCTTTCTTTATAGCTGATAAAAGTTAAAAGACAGATGAAATTATCTAGGAGTTTCTCAGAAAAAAGATAAAATAGGGCAGCACAATACTTCTGCATGACAAATTGTTGTTCAGCAGACAGCTTGATGAGGGCAGCTTCATAGGTAGTTTAGGGTTAATGATGTTTAATTTTTATATGACTACAGCTGTCCTTAAATTTTGCAAGGTACCTAAAAGGTAATTTCAACACAAAAATAAATAGCTCTTGTAAAAACAATCTGTAAAAAAGGGATTTAATTCCATGTTGAGCTTATTGGCATAGAAATCTGAAACTTTCAGATGAAAAGTGCATCTAAGCTTTGATTTTTATAATACAGTATTTGGAAATAGTAAGAGAATGACTCTATTAATAAAATTAATGTTGATCTGGCACCAATGTGCTGACTGCCTTCTTACTTTGTTTATTTTTCTGGTTCTAGGAAGCTCAGGACTATGTTTGAGGTAAACTCCAGACTGAGAACAAATAAATCCTAACTATTAGTGATCTGAAGCCAGTACCAGTGTTGGGACTGAGTTTGTAGTTTCTAGTTGTAAACTCTGATTGATTTTGGTGAGTTGCTTTAGTGAGTACAGCTGGTAATACCCTCATCTTGCAAACAGTGCTCTATATGCTTAACATGGCACGTGAGAATTCATTATTCTTCCAACCTCAGCCTATTCAGATCTGTGAGAAAAACCATATAGCACTTGCAGGAGAAGAACTTATGACCATAAATCACTGAAAGTTAATTAACATTCAGTTCTGTTTGAAAACAAAGATTACTATAGAACAACATTCTGCTAAAGCCCCCTCCGTGTTTAAGCCGGCTTTACAGCTTTTCTGCTATACCTCAGTATCCTGAACAAGGTATCCTCAGTGTCTGAATTTACTGACAGAAAATGAACTGCATGTCCCCAAAGGTCATCCTGCCTATTACTGTGTTTGTTGGGTTTTTGTTTCTTTTTTTTTTTTTTAAAAATTCATTTCAGTTTGGTCTATATTTTTTTGAGCAAATCTTGTGAGATTACAATACACAGTACCGAGTTGTAAATAATGCATTATGCTCTGCACAGGCAGGTCCATAAAAACATGCTTTGAACAAGTAAATCATTCAGGTCAAACCAAAACAAAATATTCACTTTTTTTTTTTTTTTTTTTCTTTCCCAAACATTTGTTGCTTTAAATAAAAATGGAAGGAAAATTGAAACAAAGGTATTGTCTCTTTGAAAATTTGCAACGCTTTTATCTTTTCAAGTTTTTATCATTTTTTTTTCCCCTGATTTTTATTTCTGCAGACTAATTTTGTTGTTGCTCCCAAATCACAGATTTTTTACTGGATCTTTTCTTCAAATCTAAAATTCATGCTTTATTTTTTACAAGGATGGAAAATTTTTCCTTAACGAACATGAAATCTGCTTCCCACCTGACATGGTGTGTTTCTATAAGATAAAACATTATTAGAAATACTCTATGATTAATTATAGGATCATAGACTCATAGAATGGTTTTGCTTGGAAAGAGCCTTAAAGACCATCTAGTTCCACCCCCTGCCATGGGCAGGGACACCTTCCACTAGCCCAGGTTGCTCAAAGCCCTGTCCAACCTGGCCTTGAACACTGCCAGGGAGGGGGCAGCCACAGCCTCTCTGGGCAACCTGTGCCAATGTCTCACCACCCTCACAGAAAAAGAATTTCTTCCTTATTTCTAACCTAAATCTACTGCCTTTCAGTATAAAACTGTTATCTCTCATCCTACCTGTACACTCCCTGATAAAGAGTCGCTACCCATCTTTCCTCTAGCTCCCTTTAAATACTGGAAGGCTGCTACAAGTTCTCCACAGAGGCTTCTCTTATCCACGCTGAACAACCTCAACTACCTTAACCTGCCCTTACAGGGGAGGAGCTCCAGCCCCTGATCTTCTTCATGGCCCTTCTCTGGACCCACTCAAGCAGGTCCATGTCCTTCTTCTGTTGGGGTCTCAGAGCTGGACACAGTGGTCCAGGTGGGGTCTCACGAGAGTGGAATAGAGGAGGATAAATCTCCTCCCTCGACCTGTTGGCCACACTTTCTTGATGCAGCCCAGGACACAGTTGGCTTTCTGGGCTGTGAGCGCACATTACTGGCTGATAGTCAGTTTTCCATCCACTAATACCCCCAAGTCCTTCTTCGCAGGGCTGCTCTCCATCCACTCATTGCCCAGCCTGTATTTGTGCTTAGAAGTGCCCCCATCCATGTGCAGGACTTTGCACTTGGCCTTGTTGAATTTCATGAGGTTTGCACAGTCCCACCCCTCCAGCCTGTCCATGTCCCTCTGGATGGCACATCCCTTCCCTCCAGTGTGTCAGCTGCACCACACATCTCGGTGTGACTTGCTGAGGGTGCACTCAATCCCACTGTCCATGCTGCCCACAAAGATGTTAAACAACAGCGCTGGTCCCAACACTGAACCCTGAGGTATGCCACTTGTCAACCTCCCACACTTGGACTCCCACACAGCCATTGACAGCAACTCCTTGAGTGCAACCATCCAGCTAATTCCTCATCCACTAAGTGGTCCATCCATCAAATCCATGTCTCTCCAATTTAGACAGAAGGATGTCATGCAGGACTGTGTCAAAAGCTTTGCACAAGTCCAAGTCCCGGTAGATTATGTCAGTTGCTCTTCCATTCTCCACCAGTGCTGTAATCCCATCGTAGAAGGCCACCAAATTTGTCAGGCATGATTTGCCCTTTGTGAAGCCATGTTGGCTGTCACCAGTCATCTCCTTATTTTCCATGTGTCCTAGCACAGTTTCGAGGAGGATCTGTTCCATGATATTGCCAGGCAAGAGGTGAGACTGACAGGCTTGTAGTTCTCTTGGCTTTTGTTTTTTCCCTTTTAAAAAATGGGGTTTATGTTTCCCCTTTTCCTGTCAGCAGGAACTTCACCAGACTGCCATGACTTCTCAATATCATGGATAGTGGCTTAGCCACTTCATCTGCCAGTTCCCTCAGCACCCACAGATGAATCTCATCAGATCCCATGGATCTTCAGGTTCCTTAGATGATCTCAAACCTGATCTTCTCCTGTGGTGGGTGGTTCCTCATTCCCCAGTCTCTGTCTTTATCTTCTGCATCTTGGATAGTGTGGCTGGAGCCCTTGCCAGTGAACACTGAGGCAAAAAAGTCACTGAGTACTTCCACCTTCTCCATATCCCAAGTAACCTGGTCTCCTGTTTTCTTTCAGAGAGGGTTCATAGTTTCCCTTTTTATCACCAATGTACCTGTAAAAGCTTTTTTTGTTGCCCTTGACATCCCTGGCAAAATTTATTTCTATCAGGGCTTTGACCTGTGATCCCTGTGATCCCTGGCTACCCAGACAGCTTCTCTGTATCCCTCACAGGCTACCTGTCCTTGCTTCCACTCTCTGTAGGCTTCCTTTTTGTGTTTGAGCTTGCCCAGGAGCTCCTTGTTCATCCATGCAAGCCTCCTGTCATTCTTACCTGACTTCCTCTTCATTGGGATGCATCACTCCTCAGCTTGGAGGAGGTGATCCTTGAATATTAACCAGCTGTCTTGGGCCTCTCTTCCCTCCAGGGCTTTATCCAATGTTACTCTGCCAAGCAGATCCCTGAAGAGGACAAAGTCAGCTCTCCTGAAATCCAGAATAGCAAGCTTGCTGTGCACCCTTTTCATTGCTCCAAGGATCTTGAACTTCACCATTTCATGGTCACTGCATCCAAGGCTGCCCTTGAGCTTCACACTCCCCACCAGCCTCTACCTGTAGGTGAGAACAATGTACAGCATAGCACCTCTCCTCATTATATAATATATTATACATTATATTTGGGATATTATAATAAGTAAAATATTGTACTATATTTCATCATATTATCGTAAATACTACTTTGTAATCAAAATAATACTATAAAGAAAATGGAAGTATATTTACCCCAATACCACTTTGGTCTTCCCAATATGTTTTCAGAAGTATCAATTTTTACTTCTTAAAGACAGTCAGGGCTAGACTCCCAGATGA